TTCTCTCTCTCTCTCTCTCTCTCTCTCTCTCTCTCTCTCTCTCTCTCTCTCTCTCTCTCTCTCTCTCTCTATCCCATCTATATCGCCTCAACTTCTATTCCCCATTTCCCCCCTTTCGTTTCCCTATTTCCTACTTTTCAGAGGCTTTGCTGTACCATTCAGGAATTGAAGGTCTTTTTTAGGAGGAACGATCACATTTGTGGCGATTAGGTCTAATTGTGTTGTATTGCTTGGTAGTGATCTTTTGCATCTTCTGTGTTTTTTTTTCTTCGTAAGCTCTTTATGCATTGATTGTTTCGAGCTTCTGTGCTTGCGTCTGTTCGTCTCATTGCGTGCGTATGTGTCCGTATGTGTGGCATTCATCTACCATATCATTATCCATCTGTTATTTCATTAACAATGCATGTCTGTGGTTTTTAGAAATGAGAATCAATTCTATCATTTTCCGAAGGTTCATTGAGTTACACTCGAACGGGTACGCTCACTTGAACTGGATTTGGTAGGTTGATCTCGTTTTTAGACTTCACAGATTGTGTTGTTTCATGTGGTAGTTGATTATTCAAAAGCTAAGCTATTGACCTCCCCCCCATGCTAGGCAGAGGATGGCCAGTAGCTTAGTTTTTGGGTTGTTAACTGTCACGCATTTTATCATGTGCATGTGTATCATTCATGACATATCACATGCATTATATAGCATCATTCCATGCATTATGCATTGCATATCATCATTTATGCATTACGCATGCATCTCTTTATCATTACACGGCATCATCTAACAGTAACATATAATGCAAACAGTACAGCAAATCTACACTAAACAATTGCAAAAATATCATTTGGTTTAATGCACTATGAACAGTACCGTATTCAAAACTGCTCAACATGCATACAGTATGGGAAGGGTATTATTGTAGTTGACAAATTTTATTTTCATGATTTTATAAAAAAATAAAAATATAGAAATAAAATTTGGCAAAATCGATCGTAAAGGGTTGCTTCGCAACCCAAAAAATCGAAGTGCTGAAGGTGGTTAAACGCCGGTCCTGTCCTGTATGAGTATGTCTGCTTTTCACACCATGAGCTGTATGCATGAGGTTAGATTGGTGACTGGTTTGCAGCAGCTGCAAATGAGGTCATGGGCTGGGCAATAATGAAAGTGCGCATTTTGAATCCAGAAATCTGCGAGGTGTTAGAATCTGGGCAGCACCCCCAGCCCCAGCAGCTCCAGTACCTCCAGTACGAGCACCTCCGGGACCAACGACTCAAGCACCTCCAGTAGACAAAGTACCAGCACCACTCCTAGCTCCAGGGACGGCAGCAGAAGTACCTCCAGCAGTAGAGCCCCGGGCTCCAGCAGCGCGACCCTGACGGCGACCGTACCAGTCGTGCAGCTGCTGTGAGGTGAGAGGCACACGTGGACGAAGGCGGCTACTCCAAGGAGACCGCGCAACAGCAGACTCTGAACCCTCAGCGCCAGCACCCTCAGCAGCTCCAGCGCCACCAGCACCAGGACCTCCAGCAGCTCCAGAACCTCCAGCGCCCGCACCCTCAGCAGCCCCAGAACCACTAGCTCCAGCACCTCCAGACCCCTCACACGCAGGCTCAGCACCTCCAGGCTCCACACTCTCAAGCTCCGCACCCCCAGGCTCAGCACCCCCAGAAGTAGCACCCCGAGCAGGACCACCCCCAGTAGGACCTGAGTCACCAGTGACCTCGACCGGCGCAGGGAAGGGGGGGGGGTCTACCTGAGACACACCTGAAGGAGCAGGACCGGGAGCGGGAGGAAGTCTACCTGGGGAGCACCCGGAGCGAGGAAGAGCGGCGGGGGAGGGAGAGGGGCAGTGCGGTAGGGGAAGAGACGGTAAAAGGGAACCGACTCATCGAACGTGATGTCTGTGACGCAAAGACACGGCGCGAGGTGGGGTGGTAAAACTGCCAACCAGGCGCGTCAGGGACAAAGCCAAGGAAGACACAGGGAACTGCACGGGCGGAGAGCTTGTCCGCGGTGGTATCACGGACAAAGGCACGAGCACCCCAGACCCGGAAACGCGACGCATCGCCAACCTTCCCCGTCCATAGCATGTCAAAATGCTAGGCCAAAACGAGAAACAGGCAAGAAGGGTTTTGACTAACAAGCATAGGGATACATATATGCAAACCCTAGAAGGGTTGTACTCGCTATAGAGTACCCCACTGCAGGCTAGACAACCATCACATTCTGACACACCCCCATAGTCAAAGTGGGGTACAATCAACATAACAAGCAGACAGAGCAATAGTTCACAATTATAAGCAAAGCTAGAGGCTATCACAGAGGGCAAGTGAGGAGGAGGAGAAAACTGTGGGAGCAAGAAGATGAGAGGCGACGGCTGAAGCTGAAGACACACAGGCACAGGCAGCAGGAGTACGCCGCACTGACGCACCGGCTAAACCCGGACTACACGGCGACAGGGGGTCGCAGCTGGCTCGCTGTGCTCCCAGGAGTGCACACACTGTAGCTACCGGGCGCAGAGCCCCGGACTACTCAGGCCACAGGGGGTCGTGGCTCCCTGGACTTCAGGCGCTGCGGACGACAAGTCGACGGCCTCCTCTCAACTTCCCCCAGCTGTCCCACCCCCTTTTTACACACCCCCTGCTGTTCCCCTAGCACCGCTCACACTACACCCCCTAGCGCCACTCCCTCGGCTCCCACACACCCACCCCCCTCAGCGGCAGCTGCAGCAGTGGGAGACGGAGAAGGAGGAGGAGGAGGGGAACGGCACTCAGTGGCTTCACCCCCATACCCCTCACCCCCAAACCCTAATTCAGGAGAAACGCTGTTGTAGGAGGGGTGGGGCGCCAGTAGAAGCACGGGGGACAGTGGGGAGGGCAGGGGCAGCGAGGAACGGGCCGCCCACGGGCCTGGCATAGCCGCCCGAACCGCGCGCAGGCGGTCCGAGCCGCGCGCGGGCCTGGCGCTTCCTGTACGGGCCGCGCGCGGGCCTGGCGCAGCCCGTACGGGCCGCGCGCGGGCCTGGCGCAGCCCGTACGGGCCGCGCGCCGGCTGTACGGGCCGCGCGCAGGCCACGACGGGCGACGGGGGGCGACGCGCGGGTCCCCGTCGCCCGTCGCAGCGCCTCCCGGGGGCGACGCGCCGAGTGACGGGGCAGAAAAACCGCCGCGCGCCCCGGGCGCGCGGCGGGAAGAAAAAATCGCTGCGCGCCCGGAGCGCGCGGCAGGCAGGAAACAGCAGGAAACAACAGCGGAAGCTTCTGGTGGGACCACCCACAGGATCGACCCAGGAGGGTCGACCCGCTCTGATAGCATGTCAAAATGCTAGGCCAAAACGAGAAACAGGCAAGAAGGGTTTTGACTAACAAGCATAGGGATACATATATGCAAACCCTAGAAGGGCTGTACTCGCTATAGAGTACCCCACTGCAGGCTAGGCAACCATCACATTCTGACACAGCAGTGTGGGCGAGGTCTCCGGCAAGGAGACACGGGGCCAGAGGTTGAGCTGATGCGCGGCGTACCGGACCGCAAACGGCCACAGAAAATGGGGGGCAGCCGCATGGATCATGGAGGTACGAGCGACCTCCATGACTAAGCCAATGCGGCGCTCAGCAACCCCATTCTGCTATGGAGAGTCCGACAGCGTGAACGACTGGGTGATGCCGTGCTCCGCACAGAAGGCTGCCAAGAGGTCTGAGGAGAACTCACCACCTCTGTCAGAGTGCAGACGCAGGACGGGAAACTCCGTCCCAAACCGCTCGCGGAGCTGGAGACGGGCAGCGCGGATCCAAGGGATCAAAACAGCAGGGACCTCCCCCTTGCTGCGCAGGGGAAAGACCGTGGTGTAACGCGTGTAGTCGTCAACAACCAGCAGGAAGTACCGCTCGTGGCCCTGTCCACGGACGCGGGCGGGGCCCCACACGTCCAAGTGGAGAGTCTGCAGGGGAGCCTCTGTGGGAGGGAACGAGGAGTGAGGAGCGGCGCGCTGCCGCCCCTCGACGCAAGGAATGCAGGGCGGCGCAAGCGAGGGAGGCAGGGCAGGCAAAGACCTGGGAAGACCAGAAACCAGGAAGCGAGAGTGCATGCCACGAAGGCGCTGCACCGAGGGGTGACCAAGGCGGTGGTGCCACAGGAGGGTCTGGTGCGACAAAGCGCGACACTCGCAGGGGGCCGTCGGCTGACCTGACGCAGACGCAGACGCAGCTACCTGAGGGGACTCAGTGGTCAGGGTGTACAGACTCGAGCCAGGCGCACGGGAAAACGTGGCCAGGTGTCGGCCGGTCCGAGCACACGTACAGTGAGTCACTCGCTGACTCGCAGGAGTGAACTGGTGCACCCCCCTATCCTGGAGGTCAGCTCCACTCACCAAGTTCGTAGAGAACGAGGGGAGGTAAAGACCTGACAGCAAGCCAGACGGGGCGGCCGGACACGGTAGAACCGTGGAGTAGTGGGCAAGGACCGGACCCCCGGAGGGGTCCGCCAGGGAGACTGGAACCGGCCGACTAAGCGGCGTGAGTGTGGTACAGTCGCGAAAGAAGGAGCGGGAAGCACCTGAGTCAAGCGTGAAGGTGTGCAAGGCCGCAGCAGGCGCAGACCCAGAGAGAGCAGACTCACCAGCACCTGGAGCAGGAGACGTACCGGCACCTAGAGCAGCAGCCTCACCAGTACCCAGAGGAGGAGACGCACGAGCACCTAGGGCAGCAGCCTCACCAGTACCGGGAGCAGCAGGCGCTATACCAGGGTCAGGCGGGACGCACAGGGAACAGGCACGGTCAACACTAGTAGGCAATGCATACATGGCAGTGAGAATAGCATCATAGTCAGGAGCAAAGATATCTACCCTCCGTCCAAGCAGCTCCAGCCAGTCGGGGAGCTCAGCCTCGTCGCCAAACACTGTACGCCAGTCGTCGCTCAGACGGGCGAAGCAGCGGGACTGTGTGTGACCAAGCGTCCCGCAAGGCTGACCAACCCGATCACCTGTGCGAATGACGTACTGGCAGCGAACTGTACGCGTAGACCTGCTACACTGAGCGTACCACTCGTGGAGCTGCCGGGACGTAAGTGTCTCGCGAGGACGCCGCTGCAGCTGCAGCTGGCCACTGCCAGACGCTCCCAACTGACCTGTCAAACTATGCATATTGTGTTTGTGTAGGCTGCTAGTGGGGTAGCCCATATGGGGTACAACCCAATGTTAGGGTTAGCTTATGTACCCAACTCTTGATCAATGCATTCATTCCTGCTGTCAGATTCTAACATGGTATCAGAGCACTAAGGTCCGTAGGACCGCTTTTTTTTTTTCGGGCCCACCTACCACTGCGGTTACCGCGCTACCCCACGTACCTGCCTGCCTTGCCTTGCCTTGTGACGTGCTGCACTACGCGAGCCGTCCAGCAGCCCTAGCGCTGCCTCCTGCTGCCCTAGGCCAGCGCGCTGCCCCTAGAGGCCCGTAAGGCCCGCGCGCCGCCCCTACACGCCCTCCAGGCCTGCGCAGCCCGCACCGAGCCGCGCGCAGCTCGTTGCTACCGCGCGCTGCCCCCACTGAGCCCGTGCAGCCCGCACAGAGCCGCGCGCAGCCCCCTGCAGCCGCGCGCAGCCCGCACCGAGCCGCGCGCAGCCCGCTGCAGCCGCGCGCAGCCCGCACCGAGCCGCGCGCAGCCCGCTGCAGCCGCGCGCAGCCCGCACCGAGCCGCGCGCAGCCCGCTGCAGCCGCGCGCAGCCCGTACTGAGCCGCGCGCAGCCCGCACCGAGCCGCGCGCAGCCCGCTGCAGCCGCGCGCAGCCCGCGCCGAGCCCACGCAGCCCGCGTAGCGCCGCGCGCGGGCCTACTCCTGCCTCGCGAGGCCCGCGCGCCGCCCGCTGCAGCCCGCGCGCGGCCCGCAGCAGCCCGCGCCGAGCCGCGCGCGGCTCGCCACTACCTAACGCGGTCGCGCGCGGCCTGCAGCAGCCCAGCGCGCTGTCAGCGCAGCCCGCGCCGAGCCGCGCGCGTCCCTCTGCCTCGGCCCCGACCTGCCGCTGATACGGCCCCGCTCTGCAGCTGCCACGGCCCCGACCTGCCGCTGAAGCGGTCCCGCCTGCAGCTGCTTCGGCCCTACTCTGCACCGGGTGTTGCGGCCCCGACGTCGCCGCTGTCATGCGCCTACTACGCCGACGACCGTTGAGCGCCGGCCCTGCTCGCCCGGCGAGCGCCTGCTCTTCCAGCCTTTGGTGAGCGCCTGCCTGCCTGCCTGCCGGCCTGCCTGTCTGCTTGCCTGCCTGCCTGCCTACCGGCCTGACTGCCTGCCTGCCGGCCTGCCTGTCTGCTTGCCTGCCGCTGGCTCACCTACCTGCTGACCGACCTGGGAGAGCGGCCTCGTTCTCCTCCAGTTCTGTACGTTGACAACAAGGCAGCCATTGCCTTGTGTGAGGAGCACAGACTGGAGCACAGAACGAAGCACATCGCTCTGCGTTACTTCCTGGCTCGAGAGTTGCAGCAGCGTGGTCAGCTTCGTCTTGCACACGTGGCCACTCGGGCCAACACTGCTGATATATTCACCAAGGCACTTCCGTCTGGTGATCATCAGCGCTTTTGTACCTTGTTGGGCCTTGTGCCTACGTTTCCACACTTGCTGTAGACTCTGCCTGTACTGTGATCTTTATATATATATATACCTGCATGCTTGCTCTTGCTAGGTAGTGATCACTGTACTTTGTTTGTTGCATATATACCTCTGCATGTGGACAGGCCTTGTGGCCCTTTGCTTGTGCTCAGTGTGTGTGGTGACGTTGTGATCCACCCTGAGCTTGTTTTGTTTCTCTTGACTGGTCTTGTGACCCCTTGTTCTCCCCCACTTTGCCTATGGGGGTGTGTCAAACTATGCATATTGTGTTTGTGTAGGCTGCTAGTGGGGT